TTTTCACAATGAGTGTTTATGACTTTTATGTTTGTAAAATAAATCTATTTTTCATGTTCTTTGACCAAATAGCCTTAATTTTATCCTATGTATATGTGATAGGTGGCCAAATGAAAGGACCAGGATGCCATGAGAGTACTAATTTTAATAGAAAAAACTGAGGGTAAAGGGAGAAGTAAATGTTTTACAGTAAATAAATGATGTGGTAAATCCTTAAAATAGTTTGTTAGAACAAAAATCATTTATTGGCCTAGATAATTGCTAGTGAAATATTATTAAAAAAAAGGAGAAACTAATTTATTTGCAGATATGGACTAATAGTGTAACCAACATCTGATAACTAACAATATTGTTCAGATACCCAGTACAATTAATTATGTGTCTTAAATGTTCCTAGGATATATAAAACTGTTTCATGTAATGTCGAGGTAAAAATGATTTATTAAAACCAAAATGTTGTCAGGGCCAGCTGACTGGCTCAGTTGGTTAAGAGCTCGCTCAAGAGTGCGAACTCTGAGCAACAGGGTTGCCGGTTCAAATCCCGGGCTGAGCTGAGCATAAACCAAAATGTTGTCTAAATAATTTTCCCATAATTCATTTTTTAAATACTAATTATTTTATTAGCTTCAAAGTTATTTCTGTTTAATGTGTTAATTTTACAAATCTCCATGAAGTTTTCAAATATGTAATCCAAAATAATGATACAACATACAAGCAAAAGCTAGAGCATTTTAGATGCAGCTGAGTAGTGTATTTCTGTGATAAATCTTTTTGGTCTCTTTGTTCACTTTCCTGGAACACTTATTTATCTGCATTGCATTTCATTTCTTCACCTCTTTCAGAGCATCTCCATGAAAATCAACTGACTTCCATAGTCTTTCCTATCTCCTTCCAGGGAGCCATCTGTCAGGGTGTTATGCAAATATCTACAATATAGTTTATCTTGACCTTTCTCCAACAAATGCTCTTAGTTGTTCTACACTGTTTTTCTAAGTTAGACACTAAAAACACTTATACTTCACTAAGATGTTACAGGATATGTTACAACAAAAAAATGTTATATTCCTACATAACCTTTCTGCAATGCTTTTTCCTTATATGTTATTTAAGCCTCTCTCTACATGCGTCCCTCTTTTTTCACTCTTACAATTAAAAGGGAAAAATCACTATAATTTGGAGTTTAACTTACTCTTCTAGTATTATTTTAGAACCGTTTCCCTATTGTAATATGATCTTAATATGATCACATTTCATACAATTAATTATATTATTTTTAGTTAACCATTTCACCTATAAATAGGAATTTCAGTTGTTTCAAATTTTTCTACTTTAAGTAGAGATGAAATGACTGTCTTTGTATATATCCTGAGAAGGTGACCAAAATATACTATGATCCAGAGGTTGCTTCCAGGGCCATCACCCCCCAACCCCCATTTTCCTATTTCTATATTTATGCTTTTGAGACCAATATTAGGTTCTTCCCCAAGATTTATTTACTGTTTGTTTTCAAAGTCTTATATAGCCCTCACTATATGCTTTACATCGTTCTACACACTTAAATATTATTTCATCTAATCCTCATAAATCCTATGAAAACTACTGTCATTTTTCAGACGAAGACATTGAGATGTAAAGAGATAAAGTACGTTGACCAAGGGCAGGTAGCTAGCAAGGGCAGAGCCAGACTGGGAACCCAGACAATCCAGCTCCACTAGTATATGTCGCCTCTCGCAATCACGTTCCTGCAGGTGAGAGAGGAATTTTAACTAGTTGCCTTCCCCAGTAAAAACAGATTGGTACCAGCGTGACACTGTATTTCCTTGACCAGTAATGTTATCTTATATACAGACACAAGAGAAAGGCAGTTAGCATTTCTGCTATGATACATTATGACCTCTTTAGCTATGGGTTGATTCTTGTCCATGGAACATACTTAGGAAGTAGGTCTAGCTCCATCCAGCAAAGCCTTTATTGAAGGACCGTTATATGCAAGGTACCTTTAATACAGATCCAGATACCAAGTGCAGTGCACTAAGCCAAAAGCCTACCCATGCGCCAGCTCAGTGTCCTAAATAACCTGCTCTGCTGGAGCCAAACCTTGGGAGGTGAGGGTCTAAAACAGCAGAAGGCTTTTTGTCTAACATGGTTACAGTACAACTTTAACTCAGAAAACCTACAAGGGTGCAGAGTGGTCCTGGGCTAGGAGGAAGCATAGGGCCAGAGGAACGGTCTTTCCTGGGATCCGCCTGCATGCTGACCACGGCGGGGGGACATGTGTGTGAGTGTGTCTCACAGTGAAATCTGTATATGCCCTATTGGAGCAACCTCATGTTAAGTGTGGGATGCTGGTTATTTTTACTGAAAAAAGGTTCACTGGGCCTGGTATTCTAAGTTTAATGTAGCAAATTTTAGGACAACATCCAGCTTGAAACAGATTGCTGACTATTTAAGTCAAGAAGTTGACTTAACTGGAAAAAAATAAAACATTTCTAGATCAAAAAAAAAATTGGAGAAGTGGAGCAGTTAGAACGGGAGAAAAACATATTTGTTAGAAAGAGCCAAGACACACAAGTTAAGGAGAAAACATCTCCACCCTGCAGGAAACCCAGCTGACTTGAAGAAATACGACAGAAAAGGAGATTCTATAAGGCCCTCCCTGCGTCATCTCAGCCCAGGACTTACAGAGGGTTAGGGAGTGAAGAAACTAGCCCTGGAGGTGTTCATATCCTTGGTGACAGTTTGAGGTCCTATGTGTTTACAGCCTGGATGGCAAGCAGTGAGTCAGAGTACTGTAAGACTTTTTTTTTTCTTCTTCTTCTTTCTATTTTTTTTTCTATTTATTGAGTGTCAGCAACATCAAGAGCACTTTGAAGACCAGTGGCTATGCCTAGATGTCTCTGCACAATTAGATTTGGATTTAGGACAACAAAAGCAATCTATATTTTTAAGCCCAGGCTGCTGAAGAACAGAGTGGAAATTCATGTTAAAAGAGAGGGCTGCTAGCACTCCTAGTCTTGTAAAGCCAGAACTGTGTTTGTCTCAGGCTTAGAGTTGCTGTTAAGTTTGATGAGTGTGGCAAGAAAGCTTTAAGATTCTTCAGAATTTTCTGAAATAGTCACAAAGAATAGGGGGGAAAAAATCAGTGAGTAAGAATCTACGTATATGTATGGTGGGACTTTGAATCAGAAAGCTGTGGATTTGAATCTGGGACCCTTCCTTTACTCACTGTTTACCTTTGGATCACACATCAAGTTGTGTCAGGCATCTATTCCCCTCCTCTCTAAAGTGAAGAGACTATCATAAAGGGTTGTTGAGAGGATTCGATAAGGAGCGACATGAATGCACTTAGCGCAGTGTGAAGCAGGATATTATAATTTTGCCATTCTGTGTTGCTGCTGGGCACACAAGATATTTCAGATGATATAACACGTTTGGAAAATAGCAAAAACAAAACTATAGTATTTTATAGTTGTGTTAAACTTTCTAAAATGTTTTAATAAAGCATTAAATGTGGTTTTCTGTCTTACTCCATTGTCCTATTTGAGTCTAATGTCTTTAATTAAAGAATGTTTTGAAAAGTGAGCAGAGAGCCCATGTGAGTTTTTAAAGAAATATCCCCAGGCTGTGAAACATTGGCAACTTTTTTCATATCTTTATCGATGAGCATCTATGTCACTAAATGTGCTCCATTCAGTACATTCTTCTAGCTCTCTCTGCTCATGCATGGCCTGTCTCTGACCTATGACTGTTTTGTGGCCATAGACATCTCACAGGATGGAGAACCTGAAATAGAAACACAAAGATATAGTGATTGAAAGCCCCCAAGGTCACACATGGGATCATGACAGTTAAAGACGATAAGATCAAGGATGTAGCAGGGCACTTAGTCATAGGAAGTAGGAGGAAGTAGGTGGCTATTGTGAGAGGAGAAAGGAAGCCATAGATCAAGGAACACTAATGAAACAAAAAGTAAAGGTCTTATAGGAATTGTCCACATAAACACAGTGTTCTTTATATTGTTTAGATTAGCATCATACGATGTAAGAACAGATGCATGAATTAGGAAATGAAGAGGGAGAATACTGAAATAGTCACTGTTACGTAGTCTTCATTGAAAATACCATCCCTATCTTTTTTTAAATTATTTTTTATTATGAAATAAACAATTTTTAGAAATAGTTTCAGCTGTACAGCACAGTCCAATAGTTTTCCTTTTTTTATCCCTATCTTTTGTATTTCAATTACATTTTGATGAATTTAATGCTCACTGAATCACCATGGGTCTTATGTCCTTTGACTCTATATTTTGCAGGAACAAACACATCGTGAACACAGATTCCACAAATCATGGATGCATATTTTAACACTCCTTTAGTTTTGAAGGATATTTGATTCCTCCTCAGCATTTTTAGGATTGTAGTTTTCTGAAAGAGAATTTTCATTAGACAATAACTACTATCACTCCATTATATATTACTGAACTGATTAAAATTCATGGAAACAGGGTTGAATTTTTATTTAATATTTAATTATGAAACATCTAATATCATTTTTGTTCCTGATGTATACACAGCTATAACTTTATTTTTATTATTATTCAATTGGCCAGTAATGTCAGCAAATTGAATTAGAATACAAGCTCTGGGTGATAATGATCAATCTCAAGGTCAGCCTTGCCAGTGCGATGCTATCTCAGTTACACAGAACTACACAGCTAGGTGAATCTGTTTAATATAAACTTGACTGATAGACTGAAATGACCATCATTTTATTTTAAAATGGCCAAAATGGTTGTTCAAGTGTTACACTAAGTTCACCCAGTGGCAAAGTCAAAATTACAAGTCAATCATCGACTCAGCCATCAGTTTCAAAATATAAATAATCAATGAGTTTTTGGCTTTAGCATATATCATTCTTAACCTCCTGAGTTCAAGAGACTTGCACCCTTGTAATGAACTCTATTTTGGCATTTAAATTATGTCTCTTCCTTTTTTTTTTAGGTAGATCTTCTGGTCCCTACCAAAGTGACTGGAATCATTACACAAGGTGCTAAAGATTTTGGTCACGTACAGTTCGTAGGCTCCTACAAACTAGCTTACAGCAATGATGGAGAGCACTGGACCGTTTACCAGGATGAAAAACAAAGGAAAGATAAGGTAAGTCATCCAGGTGGTTTATAACATGCAGAGGTAAAGGATCAAATTGTATCCACGTCTGATGGAATGAACTGCTTATATATCGCCGCTGAAAATAATGGCTACATGCATTGAAAAATGTATTTTAAATAAAAAGCTTTAAAGAATAGCGCTCTAAAGGAGTTTATAGTCAAAGAAAGTAATGGTACAGCCTATGGAAAAACAAATTGCTTTATTAATAACATTTTCCATATTATTCATTATCTAAGATCCAACTAAGATTGAGCTTATGTTTTATAAACCTAATAGAAGCTTGAATAATTTATCATAAAGTACATGCAAATAGATATTGTTTCAGCACATAATACTATTATTTTTGTTATTAAAATGCATTACTGATATTAGAAAAAAATGTTCTTTGGAGAAAAATCAAAGTTTAACTAAAAGATTTTTAAACTTTATATCTCCTTGATTGTTTTGACAATTAGGAAAATTAGAAATAGACAAGTTTTGGCTTTTATATTAGATTGTTAAAATTAAAATATAGGACATTTCTCTGCTTAGTTCCTTGATTGTGTTTTAATTTAGAGATTTGTTTAATTTTTTTACCTGTTTTAATATTATAATAATGTACATTAATTCACCATACAATTTTACATCATGCAATTACTAATTGTTTTTCTAAAAGTTTTTATTATTTCAAACATCTTTTCTCTGTATCTACTGGTCTGAATTTCAATAGGACCCTGGAGACTGGAAGTGCTTAGGGATAATATCAATAATTAATTGGATCAAATGTTAAAATATGGCCTCAGCTGGACTAATGAAATTGAAATTAATTCATTGCTTAGAGTCTTTTTGCAAAGAACTCTAGCTTTCTGTAGATATCAACAGAAACAAAATCTCTCAGTTCAAGGATTCGCATAAAAATATAACACTTTCATACACATTAAGTATTTCTGAGTTAATGATTTTTTTTCCATTTTATGCAACCCTTTTATTCCCTCACTGTTATCTTATTAACCAAAAGAGAATTGGGAATATCTTTTTTCAAGTATTCAAGGTAAAATTTGTAAATTTTCCTAGGAATTCTAACACTGCAGTGGCTATTTCAGTGAGTCAACAGTCTGAATTCAGTTCACACAAAATTTGTTTTAGAGGAGACATGGTTTTAGATTTAGATTATAAATAACCACACTTATTTACCTTTTAACATCTTAGAGCACAACCATTTAGCATCTCAATATATTCATTTAACATCTCAGAACACTCACACATTTTACATTTTACCCGCTCAGAAATTGGTGTATCTTACAATATCACAATTTAATTTAGAGCACTGATTATTTTCTAGATGAATGTAACATAATGCCATGTTTTATAGTCAATGGCATCTTAGAGTGAATAAATATTGGATATTTTGTAAACTTGTCTTCAAACTTATTTTGGAGCTGTAGACAATTCTCTGCTGTCATTTATTGCAAATAACTAGTATTTCAGTTTCTGTCTTCCACCTTTTACAGTAGGCATTCTGTTGCACAGAGAATGTAGGTATGTTCTGTAAGATGGAGATTTTTAAACTTCATAAATTATACATCTCTTGAAGTTAATTGTAAAGCAGATAAGTATTTTCATCCTTTATCCATGTGTAATGTTCATTGAAAAGCACATTTGTAATAATGAAATTCTTATATAGGTTGATTTACGTAAGAGGTATAAAGATAAATATGGTTAAACCATCGTCCTGGTGAAACACTTTTTTGTCTCTGTGTACATGAAGCATATGATTTAATGATGATATGTGAATAATTTGAAAAATTTCCTTAAATTATTAGGATGGAAATTTGCATGTTATTGCATTTTATTTCATTATCATAGTCCAAAATGTGTGTAAAAGCATGTGCCAAGTTGGCCAAGTTACTTGGAAGTGTTGTTCAGGTTTTCTGTGTCTTTACTGATTTTCTATCTGCTTGTACTATCAATTATGGAGAGAGCAATGTGGGAATCTCCAACTAGTACTGAGGATTTCTGTATTTCTCCTTGCAGTTATATGGGTGTTTACTTGATGTATTTTGAAGCTCTGTTAAAAGATACATGCAAAATTAGGATTATAATATCCTCTTGATCAAATAGCTGCTTTATCATTAGAAAATGACTTTCTTTATCTTTGGTAATAAGCTTTGCTCTGAAATCTACAATACTTTCCTTGTATTAATTGTGGTGCTTAGGTTTTTTTTTTTTTTTATTAGGACTACATTGATGTGTATATATACTTCCATCCTTATACTTTTACTTTATATTTGAAATGCATTTCTTCTATGCAGCATATAATTAGGCTACTTTTTTTTTAATCCAACTATCTCTACTTTTTAACTGGAATATTTATATTTGATGTGAGTATTGATGTAATTGGGTTTAAATCTATTGTCTTGCTCTTTATTTTCTATTTGTCATATCTATTCTTCCATTTTTTTCTATATTTTTGCCTTCTTTTAGAGTAATTGAATTTTTAATGATTCCATTTTGTTTCTTTTGTTGATTCATTTGCTATAACTTTTTTGTTGTGATTTTAACAATTGCTTTAGGATTTATAGCATACATTTTAATCTTATCAAGTCTACCTTCAAATGAATGTGGAGCCAGAAACTTACCTTCATAAGCACAAGCAAAACAGTTATAGCTATAAATCCATGTGCTTAAGAGTCACATTTATTACAATACATGATTTTGATTTTGAAATTCTCAAAATAAGTCTTATCGTAAAGAGAGAAATGGGCTCTCACTAAGCAAGTTGGAAAATTATGAGTATAAATTGACACATTCAGTGGAAAGGATATATGCCAGAAATCTCATGTGAGATAATAAATCTCAGTGTTGTCTACCTAGCCAATGTAAAAATTTCAGAAAATTAAACCATTTTAATATTATAAACCTCACAATTTGGCTAAACTCAGCCAACATAAGTGCTAGTTTTAAAATCAAACCTAGCCAGTTTCTTTAAATAATATAATATTTGTATAATATAATAGCTTTTATAATATAATCTGGTATAATGAAGAAAAGCCTTAGATAAGTTTGTTCTGTATTACTGAAATAGCTAACACCAATAAGCTGTACACAAGAATGCAATTACTATTATAATAAATACTTTATATATAAGAAGAAACTGCAGGGCATAAACATTTCCATTCCTACAGAGAAGGGAATTTCATAAAATAAATAAGAAAATGTATTGCATAAGTTCTTTGGACACTTGGGAATATAGGCATTTATACACTGGGGGTGCTAAAAAAAATGTATACACATTTTAAGAGATATTCAACGTTGCTCAAGCAATAGTTTGCTGTAATCATAAGTGTCTGGAAGGTGATGGTAACCACTTTGAGCATCTCTTGTAATTGCAGAAGTCAAACGTGACTTGTATTCATCTTTTGTTATCAATATGTATTGAATATTAGAATTTTAATACACTTTTTTCCTTTCTTAAAATGCATATACATTTTTTTGGCATACCTGATGTATATGTTTTAAATATATATCCAAATAATTATTGTGCTTTGTTGTTATCATTGCTATTATTACTAGATATTTTACCTATAATTTTATATATCCTTTATAGTTGTGCTCTTCTTCTTTAGAGAGGCCCTGAATAACTTAGCAATTAATTTTTCTAAAGTTGAACAAACCATCTCCTATTGATTCTTAATATTATTTGTGCTTTGTTTTCCATGGTTACTTTCCATAAGGGAAAAATGTCTTCAGTATTTACAAGTGCAAAATCAGCTACAAGCTTTCATCCAAATAAATATAATAAGTGGATTGAATGTTTTGGGGCAAAGCATGCGCTTATGAAATGTTTTATATATGCACATTTCAAAAGCAAATATTTACCAAGTTTTCTAATTCCTTTTTTGTGCCTTTCTGTTTTGATTGACTGCTGGCTCTAATAGATTTTGGGGGTGTGGGTGTGTAATCTGCTATAAGTTTGGAAACAAGATTATTTCAGCAAAACAATAAAATAATAGTGATATTTTACATTTACTGTAAGTGCTGTAAATGAAATTCTAAAACTGTATGAATGTCCTTTCTGTTTTCCATTAGTCAAAATTGACTAAGCCTCAGGAAAGCAATGCCAAGGAAAAATTATATATGTGTATAGGAGTATCTAAATATATATATGAATGTACTATATGTACATTTGCGTGTGTGTACTTGCACACCAAAAGTGAATTGAAGAAAAATAGATGCCTTGTTCTCCTCATTGAGATGTCAGTTTTTCACTACCTTCCCAGAGCTTTCATAAGAATTGCAGTTTACTTTAGTGGTCTATCTTTTGACAAAATTCCACATTAAATCTTTCATAATTGAGCATGTGATGATACTGTGTCATTCTAGTGAGACATTCTTATTTTTTTCTCTTCTTAGTCTATATTTTCTAACATTTAACTAACTTTTATATTTCTCTACAAATGGGTTCAGGTACATTTTTTATTTGAAAGTCAAATGTTCCTTTGCTCTCATGAAAGTGACATTTGTTTTATACCTTTGGAGCTGTTTTTTACTGCAGTTAGCAGGAAAATTGCAAAACTTGACAGATGCTCTCAGTATTTAATTTTTAAGGTTATAAGCCAAAGTAAAACAATAATAAATTTCAGGAAGAATACTTAGATGGAAAAATTAGAAAGTAAAATGGACTTTTCATCCAATATATTAGTCATAATGTCATGGTGTTTAAATAAACTTGAATTCACAACATGGGGCTTTCTTTTTTGGGGGAAAAAAAAAAAAAGAAGCTGGTAATATTCTATTTTGTCTCCCTCCCTGAAAAATTATCTAGATTTTTAAAAGCATGTCAAAAAATTGTGACTTTACTTTTCTATCAAAGAAAATAGAAAATCCTGTTTCAAATAAGATGTTGATGGTACTTCAAGATGAATGACACATATTCATCAAGGAGTATTCTGTAGCACTTTGGTGAACTCTGTAATTCAGTGGTTACCAATATTGTGTGATCATAACAC